GGACAGAATCACCTCCCTCGACCTGCTGGCCACGCTTCTTGTGATGCAGCCCAGGATACAGTTGGCTTTCTGGGCTGCGAGTGCACACTGCCAGCTCATATTCAGTTTTTCATCCACCAGTATCCCCAAGTCCTTCTCTGCAGGGCTGGTCTCAACCCATTCATTGCCCAGCCTGTATCCATGTTTGGGATTGCCCCAACCCAGCACCCAGCTCTCAAGTTACAGACGTAAGAACTAGTAATTGAAAAACACAGGCGAATTTCATTTTTCATACGGGCATTTTTTTCAGTTCACATTCACCTAAATTCAAGACCTAAAACTAAGGACCAGATAATAAACGTAAGCTGTTTTAGAAGCAGTTTCCTACTGAATATGAGTGTTTGTCATGCAAATCCTTGGCCAAAAGCAATACAACAGATATAGTTGACAGAGAGCTCAACCTTGAGAGCTAAACTTAAAATAATCCAGAATGAAGCAAAGTTCATGCTCAAGAAGCATGCCACAGAAAAACTGGGCAGAACAACCAGATACATCATAGAAAAAGAAAAGAGCTCATTGACCTTGCCCAGCTGCTTAGGTAAGGTATATCAAACAACGAGAAAGGAGTACGCAGTACTGGGGGGCTGCTATACATTTACTGGGTAAAGGCAGTAACACATGCAAACAAATGTCACTGTAACCCACCATAAAACAAGTAGTAGAAAAATGGTCTATCAAAAAGTATCAGCTGGCAGAGTGAATGATAAATACAAGTAAACACAGCTATTCTCATACTGAATCTGAAATACTGGAGGGATACAAATGATAGAAATATTAACAGTGCAAACTAAATAAATGAGGTCTCCTTTGTAACGTAAGAAGTACATAAAAATGTATTGCTGGGGATGGAGGGCTGGCTTATACAAGTTAGAAGTTCTCTTGTCCATATTTAAGAATAACATACAAAACTTCAAAATAACAGCTTCTGGTATTGTATCAGGTAAGATACAATCAAACTTTATTTTCAAATGTGCTTTGGAGAATTTTTTTTTGCCTCTTATTGCCTTGAGATTTGTGTTTATGTCTATACATTTGAAATTGTCTACGCTCTCGAACGTGGCAATTAGAACACATTTTCATGTCAAGACATAGAATAAGATCCAAACAACTAATGAGCTCATGTATGGATGTAGCAATCTGTCATCCTGCAGCAGAGGATTAAAAGGTCATGTTATAATAGCAGCTTTGTTTCTCTCATACAGAGTGGTTAACACTAAAAATTATGCTTTCAATTTCATAAAAGTAGTAAACAAAAAATACAGGCAAATTTCATTTTTCATACTGGCAGCTTTTTCACTGCTAAAATCAGAAATGAAAAAAAGCATTAAAGAACCCTAAGTTAACACAAACAAAAAAAGAGTCATAGGGTTATATTTATTTTATTTCTGATCAAATACAATTTCCTCAGCCCTGAAAAAGCATTAAAATTTTATTCGCACATCTGTAACAAGTGAAAAAAGAGCGTCACTTATACCTTGTTTACAAGGTAGTTAGAAAGGAAACCTTTACTCATTAGCTTTCTACTTACAACACCCGGCTGTGGGAGAGCCAGGTTTATTCCCCTTTCACACCCGAGACAACTTCAATCCATATCATCCTTTTCCCAGGAGATTGCCCTAACTACCATGCTGTAGTTATTGGGGGTGCTTTCAGAGAAAGCTCTTCTGTGAAGCTTTCCCTCTTTATATAAAATAATGTGATATTAATTGCAGCAGGGATGAAAACCCAAGTGAATTCCTCAATGACAAGCCTACAGCCATACATACAGTCTTCCAGTTCCCAGCTTAGCCCTCCCCGTCAGCTTCCTCCCCTCAGGTTTACCAGTTTGGCCCTCCAGATTATTAAAAACAAACTTTGGTGGGAATTTGTGTATGTATGAAATTGCCTTCTTTTTTTTTCCCCCCAAATTATTTTAAAAAATGAAATGTGTTTTCAACTAAAACTATACAGGCTTTCCATGTCACTCTTGTGAAGAAACATCATACTTTTCTGAAATAATGGAAAGGATTAAGTCACATACATCGTGTTTGACACTGGGAGGGTAGGTGGCAGAAGTTTTTGTAGTTCTTTACCAGGAAAAGTTTAAAGATCTTGGTGTACTAGATCCATAAACTTTAAACTAAATATCAAGCTGTTCCTTTAAAAAAAAAAATCTGTTTACCAGGAAAATCTGAACATTATGCATTATAATTGAAGGAAAAATGTTTCCTTCAAACTCTCACAGCAAAGAACAGGCCTAAATTACCTATATCCTTCTTATTTAAATTTTCCATTAACAGTAGTGGAAATTCTTGGCAGAATTCAAACAGAGAATATTCAAAGGAGATTTTCCTTTCCACCACAAGAATAAGATCTGAGCAAGATTTCAGCGGTGGGGGGTTTCTGTTAGGACATTTGAAAAGTCTGTCCACGTTGTATGTGTACTCCATGTGAAGACATTGAATTAAAATTACCATTTAATCATGCACCAAGTTATATTTTCTGATAGTATTCATAATCAGAGACCTAATAAATTCACAGGACTCCAAGCAACAGCTAACTCTGCTTCTGGTCAGAGAAAATATAAACATGATAGTGCTTAAAAACAAACAAACCAAGAGAAATCAGTCAGCTGCCAGACAGCATCATAATTTTCCCTGATAGTATGTCAACAGAAGTTAAAAATTATAATCAATCTACATTCATTTCAGTAACAAAACCTTTTTTAAAATGGAAAAATAGAACAATAGCAAGAAACAAGGTGAATACTCCCTGCCAAGATTTCAACGCTGAGAAAATAGCCATCCTTGAAAAGCTTCTGATGGCGTTTGATTTCCCAACCACACTAACGTACCTTGATAACAGCACCTTTCTATCATGCCTGACAACACAGGAACATATTCATGGAAAGCAATGATGAAATTTTTAAGCTAGCATGTTGGGTGAAATGTGGGTCCCAATTAAGTCAGTGTCAAATACCCATCAATTTGTAAATACCCAGGATTTTCTGCATGTGGTGCAAAAAGACCTCAGTCTCTTGACGACCGCATCATCTCTAGCATAGTTTTCAGAAACAGCATTAAATGGTCCCCAAATTCCACGGTTTACTGAACAAAAGTCTTTTTTTTATCATTACTAGCTTGGTCCCGATCCTAGTGCCTTTGATGTAATCTATACAAGAGCAGTTAACTTCTACGGAAATAATTTTGTGTCTATCGCCTCGTTGAGAAACTACTTTTCAAATGTTGTAATTATAAACCACAAGATAAAAATACCACCAAAATTCTGAGCTCAACTGAAATACATACCAATAAAAGTATTATCATTATTATATTATAAATAATATAATTATTGCTGAGTAGTATTTGTGCTACTATTTCTCTGCATTGTGATTTGTCATATATGTTAAGTAAGAAGACCTAAAAGTGAAACACATTGGTGAAACTGGAAGATACAAGATTTCAGCTCATACTTGCTGGTTTATAATCTCCTTACACTAAGGATATAATCAGAATGCTTTGCAATCAATGGAAAGACAACTCAAATTTTCAGACTCGGGTCAGACTAAAAGTTTCGCTTCACTTCCTAGGCACTAAGATAAAAACACTAGTTATCTATAAAAATATAATAGTCACTATAAAAAGTCATCACCCAACTGATTGAAAAAACACAAACTCTACATATAATGAAAATGAACAATTACTTTGGGCATTCATCACTTCCATGTGTTGCTCTTCCTTCATCTAATAGATTTTTAAGTCAGAATATACCAATACAATCATTTATTTTGATCGTCTATGAAATGCATTAATTTCCTCATCAAGCCTATGACTTCTGGTGAACTACATCATATTTGGAGAAAAAATAAACTGTTGTAGCTTTTCATTATGGAATTTTATCACCAAAGGAATCTACCACTGAAACCTTTAATTTTAATGGAATTTTAAATGAGTAAATTACACTTTATTTCTTATTAAATTGGTTTCACCAGTTTTCCGTTTGTTGTCAGCCAAAAGCTAGGAGCTTTAATGCTGAACCCAAAAAAGTATGTAGCTCACAAATGTTCCCATCTGAACTGAGTGGAGTTCACAGTTCTCTAAAAGCATTGCATGAATTAACAGTGATGAAGTTCTTATCACTAAATCTACAACTAGTAACGGGGACATTTATTCTATTAATAATACCAGAATCTGCTTGCGCTATGGGCATACCGTGCCTGGAATCATTTAAGTATGAATGTGGTAAACAAAGATCAATATCATCTATGTCTAACAGGAGGACAAAAACCTGCAGAAGCTGTATGGAACTCACTGTAGATACAATGCTAAATACAACCTACGCTAATGTAAGTGCTACTTTGTACAAACGCAACATGTATCTCGATGCTTCCAGCAAACATTTCTGCTCTAATAGGAGGTTTGAATAAGGAATCAGTGACCTAGAGCATTGAGTGTCATGTAAAGGAAAGTTTTATTCAGATGTGGAAAAGTCATCCTTTGCCATTTGTTCTTTTTTATAAAGAATTAACATTCTCACCGTGAGACCAATTTGCTCAACAAGTTATTACACTAACCTTCTTAGTAGTTTTCTTTAGCTGCTTTCAAAGTAGTCTCGGAAATTCAGATACATTTTTCAAACACACTTGAAAATTCAACCAAAATGACGTTGTCTGTTTTCCAACAATCAAAAAGAGCCTCAAATTTTCCACTGAATAACGTTTTTATCCCCTGCTCCCCACCCCCAATTGTACTTCGGAAGGCAACTGTAATTCAGATTCATAGCATTTATGTACTTCAAACCCATGACTATTTACTATCAGAGACAAGTTCAAACACTGGAGTTCTCATCGGAGGGGAACTCCAAAGGTCAAACTGTATGTTCAAACAACTACATTTTTCCTCTGTGGTTCCAGCCTTCTAAAATCTGAGAGTTTTGCTGTTAAAACACCCTCCCATAAACCTGAAGAAGGATAAGTGACCTACCTTAGAAAGTCCGCCTACTTCCAAATAGAAGCAGATAATGAAAACATTCCAGGTGACCCACAGGGCAGTCCACACCGTGTACTAAACACAAAGCCGGATGAAAGCAAAAAGACAGAAAAATGAAATGTGAAGATGAAAGAGGTCTTTAAACTGAGCAGATCAATAATAAAAAACCTGATATCAACAAGCATTGTTCTTCTGGGAACAGACAAGCGCAGAGAGTTCAGAAAAGGAGTTCTCCCTGTAGAATTCCTCTAAGAACCATAGGAAATTACAAATCCAATATTCATTGCTGCTCTAAATACATACCAATAAAACAGATTTATTCTTTACAGTTGTACACTATCCTACTGATACCAATTAAGTCCAAAATGCTGACTTAAACACTGTTTTTGGGGCAACTGTGAGTCATTCATAAATCATGATTTAGCTCTGTTAATGGAGATTCCAGAATCGCAGTAATTTAAATAAGTAAATATTATTAAAATAATATTTAAATATTATGAAGAAAGACACAAAAAACCCCACCATCAAATAAAACAGAAGATCTATTGGATCTATTGGAAAATTTGGATATTTTTCAAAAACAAACAGGTAAAGGCTAAATCTGATCTCTTAAGAGTCTTTCAGTAAAAGGTATTTTGATTACATTAAAAATAGCTCACTACTTCTCCAGCCCTTGTGGCCATGAACCCGATCCTACAATGCACCCTGAATAGGTGAACATATCCATATCTCTTCTGGGTTCTCCAGTGTCCTACCCCTAGTGCAAGACTGAACTCATACTCCACCCACAGCATGAATGGGAGATTAATTTGTCTACCTTAAATCACCTTTTGCATTTTAATTGTCAGCATAATTGACTGGCACTATTTCCTTACAGATGCAGTGTTTACCTATATATAACTGCAAACTACGCCCAATTAACTCTCCAAGCAGTACACCTCAGAAGCATTTCTGTCTGACGGGCTACGTGCACACTCAGCCACGCTGGAGCTACACCCATCTGAAAAATGCAATGAGCGGCAGCACCTCAGAAGCGTTTCTGTCTGACGGGCGACTGCCACTTTCCATTTGTGTGCTTATAACCTTCACAGTGGAGAACTGCTGCTAAGTGCCTTTGCAAGTCTAATTAGCTGTGACCAGGTGAGGCTAACATGCTATTGTTTTGCTTCAATATACTCAGTAAAGCTCAACACCCTAGTCTACAATACGCTGGATCCCATTTCCATTGCACAGGTGCCACCAGCTTGGCTTTCTTGGGCAGTCTGGGGTTACTTCCCCTCCCTGTGATGTGTAACGAAAGGTTCAGGTGAAGGGGGTTGAATTTTTCCCCACTTTGATTACCCCCACATGCATACAGTCATTTCTGTACACCAAACAGGTTAACTGCTTTAATTTAATTTCTTACGAGGTATTTAGGCAGTTTGGAGATGGCTATGGCATAAGAAGTAGGTCATTGATATACAAAATGATAGTTACACACCTGGGCCGTTTCCTCTGGCTTACAGAGAAGGGCAGTGTGGCAACTGAAGGCTGGGTTATTATGAAACAGTCAAAGCTGCTGTGGTCTGTAAGCAGTATAAGGTCTGTACTACTAATAAGATTAACTTAAAAGAGGATATCAGATTTTACCACATTTGCTGACTCTGTAGTAACTCATCATAAGCTCCTGATTTTCCAGCGTATGTCCTCAGAACATTAGGTGCAGAGTGTTCAAAATTAATGAACACTTAATACAAGCCCAGCTGCTCATAAAAAGCAGATTTCAGAATATTCAGGAGAATTCCCCTTCTTAAGAAAGAAGTTTTTATCTGTCCATGAATGAAATCTGTCATCACAACAACGGGAAACCTACTTGATCTGCCAGGCCAAGCCAAATGTGCTAATGGCCTCATTCTGTCCCATGGGCACCAATGACAACTCTGAACCATGCAGGCAAAAACTGCCTGAACATGCTTTCCCAGGCCAAGCTAGGCTGTTTTACACAGTCAGGACCTGTGCAGTCCCTTATCTGCTGTGATGATTACTGAAAGGGAAGTGCAGGTGCAAAGCAGGGGTGCACCTTGAAACCCAGCTGCCGTGTAAGGGAGAGCTCTTCCTCACTCTCACTGAACTGCAGGAATATAAACTTAGGCTATGTTTTCTTTAAGAACATAATAATTACATATTCAGTAATTGGTACTACCTAATTTTTAAAATATTATGTAATTATGTAATTATTATAATTACATACCAACATCAGTAATTGGTACTACCTAATTTTTAAAAGTAAGAAAGTTTTTCTCCGCATTTGAAAATACATTTTTTTGGCTATGCAAGTAGCAGATTTTTTCCTTGTATAGTGTCACTGGTACTTAAGGAAGAGTACATTACAAGAAAAGTTTTGAGACAGCAAAAGCAAGAAAGCAAAATTAGGAGATGTCAGGATTCTGGTTATATTTGCGATCTTTTCTCTTTTGTGGATGAGCAATACAATGCAAACATTAATTAAATCATCGTAGGTATCTGTTTTTTTTAAAAGACCCTACCTTACTCAATAGATTTTATGAACAGCTAACTCAATACTTCATTTCTCTTTGTCGCTCAGACCCTGCTCTGAAGACAGAATATTAATTTCCTCATGAGGTTTTCTAAGATGCTCATCACTGTAATGTGTGAGAGCTGCACAAACATTAACTAATTTATTTTATGTTGATACAGCTCTCAGAATGCAAATGATGTTCTGATACATGCAGAGATTACATTCAGAAGTATTCATACGTTATAGGCATCCGACTTGAGATGCTTAAAACTTCATTTTTCAGAACACTTGGGGTTGTACAGCACTCTGCAAGCTCAGTGTTCAGCTCCCTGTGGCTGAGCATTCAGCGGTTGTGCAAATCAGACCAGAAGGTCTCAAGACAAGAACCCAGAACACAAGGGGAAAACATAGCACGTGAGAAGTTTGGTTTAAGTTACTCGCTTTGTGTCAAAAAAAGTTTCAGTAGTTGAGAGCAGAGATAGCACTCAGAGCAGCCTTCGACAAAAGCAATCCTTTTTTTCTTGCTGTCACATGCCTCATTCTTCCCATGTCTTCTGTTTTCTGCAAATCAAGTTTCTATTCTATAGCTACTATCACCAGAAAACCCGCAAATGTCTGTCCTTTCTATTGCAACTGAGGTGCCCCTAGAAAAAAAAGTTGGTATGCATCCACTGAGTCCAAACCACAAATATATAAAAGGATCACATTAAGATTGCACAGGAGGGCTTTAATAGCAGCTTTTCTTAGTTTTTGAGTGTTTCTTTCTGAAAAATTTGTAATACTTTCTGAACATTATGTGTGTAAATTTATACGTATGTGCCTTCAAGGTTAAAAAAAAAAAAAAGTAACAATATTCCATTATGTGGCATCACACTAACACCTGCTTAGGCTGCTACGTGAGGCTTAACTTTTAGGTCCATTAGGAAGACCTCTCCTCTGAGCTAGCAGAGAAACGGCCTGCAGCCCCGGGCTGTTGTCCTTTGCGTGAAGGGACGACAGGCAGGGGAAGGTGTCATGCACGCTGGCAGACATTTGCTGTCAACGGAGGAGTGGTTAGGGTTTGAAGCATCAGGTTCACACTGAACCTCAAGGTTAATTTCCCTCCCAAGGAACCTCACCTAACCTGTTTCATGACCTGACCTGCCATTCAACCTCTCCTGCCCCATGTCCTGAATGCTACCCTTAATGTCCTGCTGTGTCTGCTCACTCTTACTCCGCCACACCCAGCGATTCCTGCCCCAGTTCTTTGGCCACCCACATTCAGTGCCCCCCGCCCTCCCAGATCAGCTGGTCTCATGCTCAGCATCACAACCCTCACCATATCTGGCATGAAAAGGAATTTTCCACATAGGTTGAATCAATAAGAGGAGTTGTTTTTTTTTATTTTACGGCCCATATGATGCACTACTTAAAAATCATTTTCGCCTGGCAGATTCCTTCTGCTGGAAGGACCGAGGACACTGGTGATAATCTTTGCAGATTTCTCCCCATGTATGCTTTCTTGCTTTTCGTCTTTTGCACTAAGGATTGTATACTATGTGGTGCGAAGAAGCATTTGGAGTCTTATATGTTACGTGGAGAGAGTACTCCCTAAACCTTACAGGTTAAATGTCTATTAAATTATTGTTCAACCCAGTAGGTTCCTTTCAGATCCCCTTTCTTAATGCCAGCCTCTCTAGAATAGTGATATTTTTATGCCCCTTTTGAGTCTACAGGTCATATTGAAACTGATGCAGAGATACCTTTCATATACCAGTGAAATACAACCACTTCTAGAGTTAAATCATTGGTATTAGATGGGCACAATGTCACAAAAAGAAAGGGTTAAGGAAAAGTATGAAGGATGGCTTCTTGAACTCAAAGGTGAGAGAGAAAAGGGAAATTTCTAAGTTTGGATATTACACGGATTGTGGGATAAGTTTAGCTTTAATTAATAAACTGTCTCAAGTGCATATTTAATCTGAAGTGCAGCACCTCCTCTGACAGTGTTATGGCATTAGGGGAAATGAATGTTGGCTCAGGCATACTTCAAGAGAAAGGCAGCAACTACTGAGTCATCAGATCGTCCCCTGTAATATCTGGCTGTGCCTCAGAAGCATCAGTACTTACAGAGCCCTACTTAGTCATATTTGTGAAAGATGACAAGGAAAATGGCATAAATCAACATGATGGAACAGTAACAACTCAGGACTTACCAGGAAGGATATTCAAGGAGTAATTTTGGATGCCTAAATATTTCACACGTGTTTTGAGTGTCTGTATAACATTTGCTTGAATACTGTGTAAAGTATCCTGTATAGCCTTTCTTCTGCCCTTTTTTTTTTTTTTTTGAGAAACTGCCTCCTAGCTATTCAGGTGTACACATTGCCTATATATCATATTATTTAATGGAATAAATTAAGGCAAGCAAAGCAGAGATTGTCACCTTATATTCCGCCTATTTAAGTGTATTATTTTCATCTCTCACTGTTCATTAATACATTTATGTTCAGCTTTGGGCCAGGTTTGTGCAATCTTAGCTATATGACTCATCGTTCAGAAGGCTTTTGTAGTCCCATATCAGAAGTAGGAGAGGGGAAAAAAAAACAACTTTAACAAGTACCCTGTCATAATTTTTAATCAATTTTAACAGCCTGAAAATCTTGCTGGTGATAGCAAGTTCTATCAAGAAACGAAAAGCATGCACAGGGAAATGGATCACAGCAGAGCTCTGGAGCTGCGTGACAGGTGTGTTACAGTGTAGTTAGAACTGAAATTTAGCTGTTTTTTCTTCTTTGCAAATGTTTGAGTAAGTTTCAAATGAGCTAATATGGGAAAATTAGGAATCAGCTCTGCACTTTTATGTCCCCTGGGAACTTTGCACTGATTTAATTCAGCCACAAAGTATTCAAGTACTGAAAATAGCACATCCACTTAGTGACAGGACAAATTGTTCACAAAAATTGATCTAAATTAGAAATTAATACAAAAACTATTAGAAATAATTATTGGATTTAAACTAATTAGGACACTTGGAGTTAATGCAGTTGCTCCCTCTCTCTGTCTGTGTTTCCTAAGCTCTGAGGACTCAGAATTTTACCTATGAGCAAGTGAAATTCCAGATTTATTTCAGAATCATCATCCTTATAGTCCTATCTCTGAAGGGTAGCCAGCTGCTTCTGTGTTTATCCAGCTTCTATCGCAGCCCTCACTGAGCTACATGGGTCTAGGTACCTGCACCAAAAGCCTGCTCAGTTGTGTCTGCAGAACTACAGTCTCGTATTTGACTGCAGTATAGATGTGCTTCCAGTTATGGCCCTACATGTAACACATTTATTGACTTGCTTTCCCATTCCTGCTGAATGTTGGATGTTGAGGGGAGAGACATGATATATGCAGCATAGGATGGCAAAGTGAAAGCTTTTGTATAACTTCTCTTCTCAGGGAAACCTCCAGGCACAGCCCTGATCGCACAGAAGATACATTAAAAACCTTCTCTTGAGGTCAAACCAAGGACCCTAGAGCTGGTCAGCTTAAGTCAAGATCCCTACGAGAGTATGATATAATATCATGGGGACAATTTGTGTGCACATGTGCCAGATCAATTTTGTGTAAACAGTTTACAGAAGTAAACTGTTGTATCTGACCTGATTCTCTCTTTACTTCAATTTTTTGTATCCCGACGGGATCATATGCACCAGCAAAGCTGATTTCCATGGAAGTCTTAAGGAAAAGACAATGGATACTAAGCATACTTTTCCTGAAGTATTTGGTTACTTTTCCAGTTAAACTGGATTTAGCTTAATCTAAACCAGAAGCTTCAGCAATCAGAGTACATAAAAGCATGACTCAACACATTTTTTTATGCCAAAGCCACAGAACCAAATTCTCACTCTATGTGCGACACCAACCACTAACATACCCAGGGGCTTAGATGTGGCTGAGGGTGCAGATATGGACTTGGAAGCCCACAAAGCTTCTCAATGAATTTGGAGCCCAATTCACTACTCAGAGCTCGGGTAGGAATCTCTCTGCATATTGCGTTTAAGTAACACTGAAATTCAGACCCTATTGAAGATTTGTATTAAACAGACTTTATATTTGAAGCCAGCAGTAAAAGTTTACCACTATAACAGGTGGAACGTGATTTTATAGGGTTTCAGAAGCAGGGAGGCAGTCTATGTCCTTCCTTGGGAGAGGTGCCTTCAGATTCCCTTTTGCCTTAGTGAAGACAGCCTGGAGCTGGCACTGGTAGGGGTCTTTGCTGTCTGTACCACTGACTCCTCTAGGGCTTCTGAGGACAGCTGGCAAAGCCCAGCTGCGGCTGGGAGAGCCCTAGGAAGCACAGCTTCTGGGGAGCCTGTGTTATTGGAAGAATCTCAGACTATAGCCCAACGAGGACTTCAAGCTGGTGTAACCCCGCACTGCTGCAGAAAGACTCCATGCACTTTTCCCCTTCCTCTGGCTACTTGCTCCTGTTTCCCCTCTCGCACCTCCTCCCTTCTGCTGGAACAAGCCTCATAGTGAAACAGGTCAGAAAGCTGACTGCCACTTAAATTAACACTGGAAAAGAAAATGGTTGCTTTTCAGCTGGATCTGTTCTGCTTTGATAGTTTATCAAGTGGCTGAACTGATGCTTGTGCTGGTGCAAATGAAGGAACAGCACAGGGACTGAAGGTAGCAGCTGAGCAAAGGGAGGATTATTGCTTATGCTGGCTTGAGGTATTCACTGAATTCAGCCTGAGGGTGAAGCTAGACAAGAGGCTGAACTGACAAGTTTGTAGCTCACAACAAGGGAAGTCTTGCATCTCCTCCTTTCCCCTCCGCCTCCACACTGCTGTTCACGACTGCAGTCCCAATCCTTGCCTTATGCTGGCCCTGGCACCCTTTGGGAACCTCACAGACTGGATTCAGCTCACCAATCTAGCAAAAAACTCCCCACTTTTTGCTAGGCTGGTTTTCTGACAGTTTAGGAGTGGAACTGGCTTACTGAAGGGTCTTTTTAACTGCTGCCAGTATTGGTGGAGAGGGTTTGGAGAAGTATTCAGCCAGGGAGAAGAACAGTGGGAATAGGGAGGCATGCAAGCCACCCCCGTCTGCTGGTGTTGAGCTGAGAGGATGGTTCCAGACAACTTGTGTACTTTCACTCTTCAGACTTCAGGATTTGGCTCAAACTACTCCTACTTCACTGGGAAACTAATGTTAGTAGGGATAGAAGCTACTCTAAAGTCTTGATCTTCCCAAGTAGCGAGTGTTTGCACCTACTATAGCTTGAGCTCTTAAATATATGCTTAAAGTTAAATCAGAATGTGAGTTCAGTTAAATCTGAGGAGAAAGTATCTTGTTGGGGTGTTTCTTTCTTTAATTACGAGTTTTCTATCTCTACTTTAAAACAACTTTAATATAGTCTAAAATGTTCATTTACATTGGAAAAGATATAGAAACAGTGAACATCTGTTGTGTTTCATTTGAAAACAAAAGCAGAGCTTCCACCACTGAACAGCAGTGCTGAACCTGAGGGGCGAGAGATTTTGTGGTGTTGCACTTCAGACACAAATTTCCTATGTAATTTTACAGATGCTTACCCTCACTTGCTTCCAAAGTCTTATGTATAAAATGGAAAACATGAAGCAGAAAGGTGTCATCAATATATGGACGTATATACACTGCTGCCCAGTTCTCCAACCACAGGTAATAGAGAGAAGTGCTATTATTTACATCAATCCATTTTCAATTACTTATGGTCTGCTTGTGAAGCTTAGCTAACGTGAGTATAAAGAGCCCTGGGCGCACTTTTTGTTCACTTTTTCTTTTAAGACATGACAAAGAATTACAGGATTCCAGGCTTGACTAGAAAAGATGAAGCTTTTAAAGTATTTGTTTAATGAGTTTTCCCCATCAGACATTTATTTCACTCTTTTGTGAGGGAAAAAAAAAAACTTTAGCCATTACTGACAACACAACTGAAATGTTCCAGATACAGACACTGCCATGTAAAGACATAATATTCATCCATTCAGGAGGGACTGTGGGGGAGGAAAAGGGATATTTTTTGTTGGCAGTTTCCTTCACAGCTTTGAAAGTTTTTTTATTCCTGGCTATGTTGAGAACATGGGGAAAAAAAATCTCTGAAGCTTCAAGTTACAAGCATCAGAGACAATTTACAACAATTTAGGGTCAAGGCCATAAATACAGGTCTTGGCAAAGTTAGGTGTAAGTGAGAAGGAGATTTCTTTGGAACCCATGGGTCACAGGACCAAAGGAATTTCTACAGTCTTTGCTTCTCCCTATTTAAGAGGAAGATGTAGCTAAGTATAACCTAACCATTACAAATATTTTTTTTTAAATGGACATTGATTCTGCTTATCTATTGCAAAGAGAATGACAATTTGCACTTCATTTCTTCATTTATGCATAGTCTAATTGTAGATGTTCCCATGACCCATCGAGGTATTTCATTCTTTAAAGAATCTTACTAAGAACTTGTATGACAGTCATACTTTCGGTAGCACTTTATCTAGGTTACCCATTCTCGATAGCTTCCAAAATCTCAGAAATGCCACTCAGTAGTCCTACATTTGCAAAAAGACATGGAGACCTCTAAAATGTCTACAGAAATACCATCTGGTGTTTTCAGACCAAGAAAATTCTGCTTTGTAATGTGACAGGTTTTAAAACGAATTGCAAAAAATAATAGATAAATGAGACTTACCACAACTATATATCGAGGCCTAAACTGGATGGTTCCAAACAAACCCAAAATGACAACTATTATTTGTAGGAAATTGCCAAGGATAGGAGCCCATTGGAAACCAAGGAAGTCAAAGATCTGTCTCTCTAATGCTGCCAGCTGTAAGAAAACACATAAACAGAACATCCACTTTTTAATTATGGGTGAGACAGAAGACTTGACATTTTGTTACTTGCACCAGGCTTCACCAGGCAGAAGTACGGCAAAATTCTGAAACTGTGGTTCCTGGGTGTAGCCTTTGTCAGTGTTTCAGTACAACGGTATCTGAAAATAGCTACTAGTCAGCATACAGTTCTAACGAAAAAACACTTGGAAAAACTTTAAGAAAATACTTGTAAACCCCTCATATAATATAAAACTACCTCTACAAACTAAACACAGACAAGTTTTATTCTATTCTTGAATGCTGGAAACTCTAAGGCTTCACAATATTTATTTAAATACAAAATTTGTCTTAAACAGAGGCTCACCTAGATTGAGCAAAGCCATGCGAACCTTGCTGTTTTTACTGAAGTATCATCATGTTCCCTCCCTTCCCCAGGTCTTTGTTTTCTTAGATTTAGTCTCAACTAGACTTGACTGCAAGTTCCTCAATCTATTCCTAAAGGAGAGAGATTTTGGCCAAAAAGCACAGAGCAGGCTCAGAGGAGTCCCAGGTGTGGCTATTGGGTACGTTCCCGGGAGTTCCCTAATGCAGAAATTAAGGAAGACTGCTGGGACCTCCTCGCTGCCTGAGGCATGGAGGTAGATTCAGGGAGTGAAAGGCTGTAGAAGATGTTGGAATACCTTGGAGTAAGCTGCTTCAAAACCAACAGCCAAATAAGCTATCTGCGCTCTGCCAAAAGCTGCTAGGTTACTTTGGGCAAGCGCAAATCAGAAAGACACGGTGGCAGCCTAATGGCTCTCTTTGCAATGTCCTCATGGCATTTCGGGGGTGGATTTAGTTGGATGTGGAAATGGAGGAAGCTAAGAAGCATCAACATTCATCCCTGCATCAGCATGTTGTTCTTAGGTAATTCTGCATTTCTGAATGTTAAGCAAAAAAGGAAAAAAAAAAAAGGCCAGATTAAAATTCTTCTGCAAACACATTTGCTGCTCTTTTTTGACAATCCAGTCTATTGTTCTAAAGATACTAAAATCAACTTTCTCAGCAGCACACCTGTTGAAGTTTAAACTTGGTTCAATATTTTTCCAGCCGTAGCAAGATATTATTGAGCAGCCAAACAGAATCTTACTGAGAAACAACTAAGTCTCTGTGCTTGCTAGAATTTATTACACGTCTACTTGATTTTACTACATTGTTACAAACCCTAAAATTTACTGAAATATGCACTTAAAATATTTATGACTGAGACAGATGGAGTAAGCATGGCCCTATGAATACCAACCAAAGTATTATCATATGTGAGCATTTCACATAAAACATTTCATTTTACACATAATGGCCAGATTCAATCCTCACCTACAAGACAGGGCTAGGTGTCACTGAGAGCAGAATCCATCTTTTCTGTAAAAAAATCATGCCTTACACCAGTCATGAAAACCGCATTCTCTATGTTGAGGTTAATAAATATGATAAATCTAAACAATTAAATGAACAAAGGTTGAATCATCAACTTGGTGCAGCTCCTCTGCAATTAGTGAAGTTACATTGACTTTTACCAGCTAAACATCTGGCCCAGTATATATAAATGAAAAATTATCACACAGCATACAATGTTAAAATATTATCCTTTTGGACATGTAAGATATTCCTATCTTAACAGAAATTATCTTATCCTTTTCATGCTGTAGGTAAGGGAGAATCTCAGAGGGAACACCACTCCCATGTGAGTGAAGCTGTTGGCTCATGTAGCATTAGCTATCTACCTTGCTTTTGTCACACTCTGCCCTCTCTTCTTTTAACTCATCGTCCATCTGGAACAATAATTTATTTTCTTCCCTAGATAAGGAAAAGAACTACAGAAGTTAATGACCAAATCCAGAAAATGACATACTTAAATGGACCTCAGATGGAATTTCAGTGTCTAACGGTGTGGTTGTCACCTTCCTGGAAGTATGTGGGCATCCTAACTGGTACACAACAACAGTGACCCTGATGTCATTTTCATAATGTCTTCACCTTGTAGTAGACTCATGAGAACCACAATAATGGCCTAGCTGGGACTTCACTAGGGACATCTCAGAATCACTTGCTTTTTCTACCACTCTCTAATGCACTCCCTCAGGCAATTCAGGTGACCTCACATTTGGGAATACCCCTGCCTGTAGCTCCCCTAAACCACAGGATACATCACACAGTACAGTACAAGGGTGCCCCAAATCCCATGTGTGAGATGGTAGGGAGTTTCAAAAACTCTTTGGCCCAGGCAGAACTCACAGTTTATGGTATTAGCAACAACGTACCAAGAGTCCTGTCCTGTATCACATAGGAAGACATTTATGAGATCCATGACCAGAGCCAGAGCCTGTTTCATTCCCACCACTACAAGTGGAGGTCTTCCAGGGTCAGCAGGGCACCTAAATAATTCACAGACCATCATTTTTCAGAGACAACGGGTCTTCTTCCTGGAGCCCCAACATTACCAAGTGAGCAGAGGATGGAGCTGCCGAATCAGACTAGAATCTGCTTATCCACCTTATCCACCTCTGCCCTGACATTCATTGAAACTCTCATGTAGCCTAGGTCTTCACCTGCACCAATAAATTGAGTGTGTCCTATAACGCTCCCAGCAGTGAAGGCAGCTGGCTTAGGATTGCCTCCAGTAAAGTGTCCTTGGCTCTGAAACAGGGCAGCTGTGTGCAAACCACTATTCAAAATGGTCCCTGGGCGTGGGTGAACTGTCTGGGTAGACCGCTGGTCACAATAAGCCTGGTTAACATGATGGAGGACTCTAACAGCTCACTAGCACCCACAATGGTATGCCACTGCCTGGCTTCTTCCCCAGGCACATGTGAATTTGCTGGTCTAGAGAGCATAGGGCTTAGCCAGAGTGGGTATTGAGGAAATTCATCTCACACAGATGGTTCGCTGCAAGAGATGGCTGCCCTTAGACATTTTATGTAGTGTTGAAACAGCTAGAGCTGTCTGAAAGACAAGAGCCTGCAGCACAGATATGAATGAAGCTGTTCAGTAGGTGTCCCTTCTTAAACTGGTCCTTAGGAGCAATTTTCAAAGCCATGTAGATCAGCACCTTAAATGCCTGAAAGACATAGTACCGCAACGTCAATGAACACAGCCACTGCACTTTGCCAACAGACTCATGTTGACAGGCTTGTCAACATGCCTACCGAGCCCTGTTCGGTATGCTCAGCATGCTCAGCTCATGCCTAAACTGGATCAGATGCAAAGTTTGCCTTCATGTGTACCTCCTTGATATCTGCCAGGCAAGCTCTGAGCACATCTAGCAGGACTGGGCTCCCACAAAACAGCACAGTGGCCACAAGTATCTTCCCAAAGATGATTGTACAAATGTGTATATGCACCATAGATAGACATACACATATAAAAAATAATTAGTCTTTTTATGGATTACTGTGGTAAAGGCACCCACCACAAACACAGAGCAATAAGGTTTCATTTCCTCTCCTGCTGTCTACTGAGGTATTCATTCCTCTCCTCCCACCTCCTATCCATTAGGATACCAAGGAGGAGAGCTTCTCCTTGAAGTTATGTCACCGGCCAAAAAATAAAAATTTGTATTTAGTGAGTCAAAAAGAGAGCACAAGCAGAAACATGACTCTACAGCCTACTGCTTATGGCACTTATCCAAGATTGGGAGAATTGCTTGTATTTCTTGCCTGCAGGGCTCGCTCTTTATTTTTATACACAGTGACAGCATGTAAACCACCAAAGGAGCCCTGGGAGCAGGACGCCAAACATACAGCACCATTCCTTCCCCACTAACAAGTGCTTTCACCATCGGGCTATGCAGTGAGACTTTCCTGTGCAGCTAAGTCTCATTTATTTTGCTCTTGTCGCCAACACAGAGTAATTTGTCTCATCCCTAAAGCCCACAGAATACATTAGTGGGGGAAAAAAATCTAAAGAAAAGAAAGAGGTAGGAGGCATGTCTATCCTGCTCAAATTGCTACTCTCTTCTAAATTATAACCTTCTTGCAGACAGCGCAGATAGAAGTTAAAAAACTAATAATTCATGATAATGGCAGAGGAAACATATTAAGTCCTGTTTTCTTTGTACCGTGAGCAATATGCACTGAATAAAGAAAGCATGTAAGTGCTGCTGTTCTTATGTCTAGTATTTCACTCAACAGAGTCCCCAAGCAGAGGTGAAGGCCACAGACTTTTTAGCTCTGTGCAAATGAATAAAAGCAATCTCTAACCGAGTCTGTGATTCAGGTAATTCACTGCACAGAAATCATCAGAATAAAGGGAGGGAAACAGGTAGCTGTGCACAATTACAGGCTGGTTTTTTAAAGATACGAAGAGCCAGTACTATCTGTGTTTGCCCAGATCCAAAATCTCTGTCACCACAGCTGGCCACCAGACTAACCTATGCCACGTGGTGCAGTCAGAAAGGAGCAGATAGTGACAGATAGTTTCACTTGGAGTTATGTGCATGTGAGTACTTTGAAATGTTTCACCAAAAACATTTTGATGATAAAGAGGCTGTTTTTCTCAATGAGAAATTTTCCTAAGAGAATTTCTGCTTTCATCACCATTTTCAGATTCTTCTGAAAACAGCCAAAAAAGCTGAACCCTGAAGGCAAGGCAGAGGTTCCCAAAATTAGCTGGCTCGACTTCTTCCATTGCTAGAAGACAGATATCAATGTAGTAGGGCAGACGAGCTCGAGGCTGGAGAAATGGGGTATGCTCGATGTGACTGAGGTCCTCTGAGGATTTACTGTCATATCACTTTTCCCAAGCACATGTTGGGAGAGGCTGGCACCTCCACCACTCATGATAGCTAAGACAACAAAGTTTGGGAGTGTCCATCATAAATTGTTGTTTGATACTGTTTTTTAATGATTAACTTAAAAGTGGAATGAAAACCCAAACCTTTCTTGCAACTAAAAGAGAAGGGTTTCGGTTTTGGCAAATTAAATACTGTGGGTCTGTTTTTGTGAAACCT